CGGCGCGGGATGCAGCCGGGGCCGCGCCCCGCGCTGTGAGCCCCCGACGCCCGCCCTCGGGTCCGGACGCGCGGCGGATGCGCCCCCGCCTCCCTGGGAACCATGGGGGTCCTGGCGGGGCTCGGGCTCGTGTTCTTCTCGGCAGTGTGCGTGCAGCAAGGGCTGTGTTCCCAAGGTAAGTGTGCGCGGAGCCGCGCGCCGGCTCGGGAGTGTGTGCGAGTGTGTGAGCGTGTTCTTTGCGCTCCGGGAGGCACAGGCCGGCGAGCCGAGCTCCGGCGAGCGACAGCGCGCCTGGGTCGCGAGAATAGTGTTCTGTTTGGTGTGTTTTGCTTTAAAGTTTATTAAATTGCAAGCAAGCGAGGCTTGGCAAGATGCAGTTGGTGCCCGGCGGTGGGCTGAGAGCCCCGCAGAACACGGCACAGGCGCGCGAGTGTGTGTATGTGTGTGTGCGCGTGTGCGCGCGCGTGTGCAGGGTGGCCACTCATGCATGCACAAGCGTCCCCGCACAGCTGGCTAGGGGCTCGGCCCGGCTCCCAGTGGCGGAAAGGCTCCGCTCCTGCTCCGAGCTTTAACAAAGCGGGCTCCTCCGGGCGGCGGCGCCACCGGCACGGAGCGGCTCTCGGGACACAGGGCCGCGGGTCGCTCACCGCCGGGGCGGATCCAGGCCGCGGCCCGGGCTGCCGCTTGCGGCAGAGTCGTCCAGAGCAGGCTGCCGCGGGCTCCCGGTGGCGAAGTGGAGAAAGCCCGGCTCCCCGTGGAGATGAGAGCCGCGGTGACCGCAGGGCATCTTAGGACCCAGGGCGTGCGAGCCGAGCCCGGGTCGCCCCTGCAGGCCCGGGCCGCTCCTGTCCTCCAGGGTGGCTCTCAGCCCCGCAGTCCCAGGCCGGGACGCTTGGGAAACCGGCGCCCCGCGTACCCCTTAGACAGCACCGGGGCCTGGGCCAAAGGGGCTCCGCGTCCGGAGACTAGGGCTTCGGCTTCATTCCATCTGCGCATCGTCCGGCGGAGCCCAGGCTGGGCTGGAAGGGCAGCACAAATCCTCCGTCCCGACTTCAGGGCTTCTCTCTGGACCCCAGCCTCGATGTCTGAGCGCTGCAGCCCGGTGCGCGGCGCCCGCCGTGAGAAGCCAGGCGCGGGCTCAGTCGGAAGACGGGACCCGCGCCGGCTTCGCGGGCTTCCCGAGCGGGCCGGGCCGCTAGCTGCTGCTCCGCCGGACCGCGCTGTCTGCAGCGGGGCTTCCGGCCCCTGGGTCGCCCTTGTCTCGAGGTGGGGCCGCGCCGCTCCCGCCGGTGGGAGAGCTACAGCGCGGTGGCCCCCGCACCTTCGGAAGTTCTTTGCGAACTGTCGTGGCCAAGGCTGGGGTCCAGCGTGGACAGCCGGCGGCGGGGAGTTATCGGCGCGCCTGTTAACCCCTCCCTTGTCCGAGCTGACTGACCACAGAGTGGTCCCTGCCCAGTGTGTCTGGAGTGCGAGTCGAGGGCCCAGGGTGTGGGCAGTGGCTCTGGAGTTTGGGTGCGCAGACACTCTGGGCTGGGTGGAAACGGCAAAGGGCGCTTCTGTTTTGCAGCCAAATTCACCGAGTTCCCACGGAACGTGACGGCCACAGAGGGGCAGAACGTGGAGATGTCCTGCGCCTTTCAGAGTGGCTCAGCCTCCGTCTACCTAGAGATCCAGTGGTGGTTCCTGCGGGGACCTGGGGACGCGGTGCCCGAGGGCGGCCCGCAGGTGGGTCTGGCAGCCCGCCCTCCTCGTGTCCTGTCTTCGTCCTTGCCTCTTCGTCGTCCTCCCGTCCAGTTTGGAGACCACTTCAGCCTGGCGCAGGGCATTTTGGGATGAAGGTGTCAAGAGATGCAGACACCCCTAACACCCACTAGCGATCAGCCCAGGCCTGGTCCCAGCAGGTCCGGTGGGGGCCACCCAAGGCCTCTGTCGGGGAGGGTGGGAACACCCCAACTCAGGTCTGTGCAGACAGCTGCAGTGGGGACAGGCAGGACGGTCCGGGAGAGGGGGACGGGGTGGGGGCAGGTGGGTGAGGACCCAGAGGAAACGGAGGGAGGTCAGGAGGCCCCTGGTTGCTGCTGGCAGTTCTATCCCTGCATCGCGGAACTGGCCCTTGGAGAGAACAGGTCCAGCCCAAGGGATGGGGGGATGCGAGCCCTGGGGTCGCGGAGATCCCCACCTTGGCCACCTGATCTGGACCCCAGCCTAACCATGGCCTCCTCCCACAGGCGGAGCTCCTGCCTGACAGGGACCCGGACCTGGATGGTACCAAGATCAGCGTGAGTGTGCATGGGGGCGGCGGCGGGGCTCCCAGGCCTTCACTGGCCACCGTGTGAGGTGCAGAGAAAGCGCGGCAGTGGGTTCCCAATGCACGCTTGCGGCTTAACAGCGCGGGTGCTGGCTGCCACTGCAGAACCACTTCTCGTCGGCAGGCGGGGACAGCGTTCCTCTTGCTGTCTGTGGCAGGCAGGGAGGAGGGAGTGGTGGAGGTTATCCCCTCAGGCAGACAGCTAGACCGCCAGTGCAGGCAGGGGAAGCCTGGCCCCAACCAGGCACCCAGGAGCAAGTCCTGCCTACCCACACACAACGCACCGCACCGCGGGTTCTGGTGGTGGAGCTCGAATTGTGAAAGTATCGACCAAAAACAAACATGTGTTAAGCCATTGTGAGTGGAGACTACCCTATTGAAAGTACAAAAATGGAGTTCTCTGTTGGCTGTTACTTTTAATGATTGCATGTACAATGAAAAGCACACATGGAGACCTTCCTCTTTACCACAGGCCATGAGGCCGTGGCGTGAGCTTACATTTCTCATGCAGCTGAACTTGATCAGTAGATAGTAGACAACTTTTACTACCAGAAAAGAACTACTTCTATAATATGGAAGGGAACAACCTGATGACCATGAATATATTATTTTTGGTTACTCTGACAGCCCAATGATCAGCATATAAAAAGGACATTTCTACTGACGCTGTTACAGTAACAAAGTGGTATAAGATTTGGGTTGCATTGTAGTTACTAGTGTACTAATGTACTGTGCAAAGAAAATCTGAACTAAATACATATTCTCAAAATAGAAGAAAACTCATGTAGCAACCAAACATATACGATTTTCAATTTAAAACAGTAGAATATTTACATTTCTCTTTAGAATATTTCCATTTCAGTGTTTCCAAATCGCAATGCTAATAAAGTTTTATTGGTAAAAGCAAGTAACAGTGCTTTTCTGAAGGGTGCTGTTGCCCAAAGACACCTGCAGTAGAGAGGCTGCTGACTGACTGCTCCGCCCATGCCTGTGTCTTCCAAAGACAGGGACAGGACACAGCCCATGACAGACACAGTCACACACAGCCAGGCATGCAGCTGCCTGCTGTGTTAGTGGCTCATGAGATCTGGAGCATCGGCAAGAAGTCTAGACACAAGATGTGCCTTCTGTGTTCCCACAGCATGCCCTTGAGCATGCCCGAAATGAAGTTATTAGGGTTTTCAAGAGAGCTTTTACTAAAAGCTAATAAGGATTCACCCCCTTGGTGAGCAGGTTTACTACGTCTGCATTCAGCAAGGAAAATATTTCATCACTGCCCCCACATAACTCTAATGTCATGGTCAGAATCACAGCTCAGAAAATGCCTTGATTAATTATACAGTAAAATGAGACAATAATGATGGAGATACCCTGATTACTTCAAATTTCATTAGAATATTTGTCCCAGAATATATGTAGAATGAACTTTTTTCTAGTATTAATATATTTAATTTTACATATGTGCATTTGTAGTTATGATCCAAGTGCTAGAAGTTATTTGTCATGTACACTATATACATACATACATACATCATTATATGTAAAAATGAGTAATTATTAGGTTTTATTAGTGATTGATGGTAATCTGCATAAGCAATAGCCTCTAGCAGGATAAATAGCCCTTCTACCTCAACCTTCCTTTCTCTCTTTCAAAATCAACCAGATCCTTAAACCCCAATTATTTTACAAAATCTATCATGCTTTCACGTGTACATGACGTTATATGTCACATCTCTGTTCTGATCATGGTATTCATATATAATTATAATTTTACTACCATGTATGAGACATGTGACCTTGCTGTTAATCTGGGATAAAAATCATGAGAAAATACTAAAAAAGTGCATTTCAGTTCTAAATCTCGAATCGGTGCTCACTCACAAGCCGTATGGGGCACGGGCCGTCTGTACAGGCCGGGGAGCGTCCCACCCACCAGCCGAGGCCTCAGAAAGACGGGGTCAACATTAGCGTTGTGAGAGGAAGCACAGCAGGGGCTCACTGTTCCTGCAGTGCTGTCCCGATTTGGAACACCAGTCTGTCCCCTCAACTTGTTATAACCAACAAAACATTTCTGTGAGCACCCACGCTTTGGGGGTCCCTTTGTAGCCCACAGTGTGGAGCACTCTATAAACTGTGGAATTGGTGGCTGGCTTAGGGCTCTCCCCACAAGCACCTCCCTGTCTACTCTTGGGGCTGAGCGGTGGGGTCCTCACAGCCACTCTGCTGGCTGCGTGGAGTCAGTGGGTAACTAACAGGGGTAACTGATCCTGCAGCCCTGAGCTTGCCCGGGCCAGGAGCCTGCCAGGCCCTTGGCATCCTAGCACGTGGGAGCCTGAGCACGGGACGCAGCAGCACAGGCACTGACCGCGCTTTCTCTCTGCACCTGCAATCTTCCAGACAGTGAAGGTCCAGGGCAATGACATCTCCCACAAGCTGCAGATCTCCAAAGTGAGGAAGAAGGACGAAGGTCTCTACGAGTGCCGGGTGACGGACGCCAGTTACGGGGAGCTGCAGGAGCACAAAGCCCAGGCCTACCTGAAAGTCGACCTCAGCAGCCACGCCAGGAGGATGCAGGCCTTCGAAGCCTCGCCCATGTGGCTGCAGGACGCGAAGCCTCGCAGGAACGCGTCCGCAGCCCTCCCCAGCCTGGTGCACAGCTTGGCCAGCCAGCGCGCACACTCCACCTCCAGCCCGCAGGCCGAGGCCAGGATCCCCAAGCAGAGTCCACAATCAGGTATGGAACTGCTGTGAGCCGTGCACCGTGCGGCTTCCAGAGCTGGGCAGCGAGGGCCGCAGAGCACAGTAGGCAGCTGGCCCCTAAGCGGCCTCCTGGGCCACCCTGCTGGGGCCCACTTGGCCGCTCTGAGCATGAGGTCGCCCAGTAGTGCTGGGCAGCGCATGCTGCCCAGGCCTCCAGGAGCTGGACTCTTGTTCTGCCTCTGTATTTGCACATTGTGAGAACAATAAATCAAGTCGTGCGGGGTACATTACAAATGCATGTTCCTTCCCTCTACAGATTTATGTATCCATAATGACCCAAATTAAGAGGCTTTCACTTAATCAGAATGGGAGTGAAAGAGACACACTCCATCATCCCCAGGGAGCGGCCTGTGCTGTACGCAGTGCTTTCTCCAAGGGCTTCCGACTCTGAAGGAGAAGCTCTGGCCTTCGCCACAGCCCTGAAGGCCATAGCCGGGAGGTGGGGCAGAGCCAGGCAGCCCGGGAGAGGAGGCGGCACCCGTAGACTACCAAAGTGTGCTGTCCACACCCAGTCAGCTGTGCGAGTTAAAGCTGTTCTGCATGATGCTGATTTCTGTGCCCTGCAGCCCAGGGAGGTGGCCGGGTCACCCTGCCGCCACCCGGGCCACACCACAGGACTCGAAGGGGCTTGGTACGGGTCAAGGAGAAACGGAGTGCAGGGGTCTTAGCTGGCAATCACTGAGTGGTTCTCTTTCTGTTTTATCCCTGGAGAATCAGTGTCGCTACGGTGGGGAACAGGAAATTGCTTTATTGCTGATACTGAAGGCCTCCTCATCTGTAGCCAGGGTCTACACTTACTAGTTTACTTGTACATCTCACAAACTGTCTTGGTCGAGGAGATACAGATACAGAAGATGTAGATGCAGATGCAGCCTGGCATACCTTTAATCCCTACAGGCTCTGAGGCTGAGGCAGGAGGATCACAAGTTCAAGCCCTGCTTGAGAAGCTTAATGACTTAGTGAGACATAAAAAAACAGAAAGTTTTTTTTTTATTCATCACAGTTGGGTGTAGCTCAGTGCGAAGGCCCTGAATTCCACCCCCAATAGCGAAAAATTATATATAGGTGGGAATGCTTGCTCGTGAACATATCTTTTAATAAAAACTGCATTCCAGGACTGGTAGGGTAGCCCAGGGGTGCAACCCCTCCCTGGGTTCCATCTGAGGAACACAAATGACTTAAGCTCACAGAGACACGAGAGAAGTAGCCCTCCACACAGCTGTCTTGCAGAGGGGCCCGAACACCAGATCCGGGCCCTGAGTCCAAGCTGCCTGCGGGCGCGGCACCTGCACGGGTGCCCCCCGGGAGCCGGACGCGGCCTCGCCCTCGGCCCCGCTCACGCCTTGGCCTTGTTACCGTCCTGAGCATTTGCTGGGTCCGGAGCTCCGGATGGTGCGCACTGCGCTGCACGCAGGCGCACACGGCCAGCAGGGGATCAGCTGCGGCTCTGGAGCCGCTATTTAAGCAGCTCCAGCGTCCGGGAGCCCTGGCCCCTTCCTTCACACCCTGGCGGGAGCAGCCAGCCAGGCAGGGCTCGGGGGAGGAGCATCGGCCTCGGCGTGATTTACAGGCTGATTGGCGAGGGCGCCACGTCTCGGAAGGGAAACTGTGAGCCCACAGGCTCTCCCGAGCTGGCTGTTACAGGTCCGTTCTGCGGAACCAAATCGAGCAGATCACCTATTCCTAATGAGCGATTCCGGGCACAGAGCAAAACCTTCTCTCCACTAAAAGAGCTCATTTATGGAATTAAATAATAAACTCCGAGAGTGTCTATTTTCTTTCAGTATCTCTTTCTTAGCACTGTGATTGGAGCTATTTGTAAACTCCAGATATCGTCAAACAATTTTCAAATAGAAATTAGTGTACTTTCCATTTTACTACCAGCCTTACTATTAGGTATAGAATTTTTTTTTTCTTGAGTTCAACATAAAAGGATAAAAAGAATGTTTTCCACTTATATTTATTAAAAGTCCTTTACTCTAAGATTTTTATTCTTGTAGCAAACGTTAATCTGAAGCGTCTCAAGGCATTTAATCTACTATGCACGTATTTTTCCCCACCGCTCACTGTGTCAGCAGCTGGGCACCCCACAGCCCCTCCTCTGGGGCTCGTGTCACACCAGTGCAGCTACGGTGTGTGAGGCACTTCCAGCCCTCACTCAGCGTAGGAAAACAATGGTCAATTCCTTTTACAGCACATTATTTTCATTCTATTAAAAGCAAGACACAGTTGGGCCGGTGAGATAGCTCAGTGGACTAAAGTGCCAGTTTAGGCAAGCTTAGGCAAAGACCACAGTTCAATCCCCAGCACCACAGGCCACCAGCCCTGCCCCCAGGAAATGCTGAGCCGGCCCGAGACCAGCGTGCGCCTGTAATCCAGTGTTGTGAAGGCTGAAAGCAGGAGGATCACTATGAGTCCAAGTTGCGTACAGAGACCCTGTAACAACCAAATGCATTTTTAAAAAAAACTTTAAAAGCAATATACAGCTGACACACAGAAATCAAAATCCTGAACAAGCGAAAGCCAACCCTTTTAGCCTTCTGTGTTTCGTCTTGTAATGGGAGCAAGAAGACTTCGTAGGCGTGACGTCGCAGTGCCAACCTGCACTGCAAAGCGCCTGGTTACCTGGCCTTTTGTTTCCGACACTTTCTTTACTTCACTCGCTAAGTTATTTAAACCAAAACACTCTGCTCCTGCTTCATATTGATTTCCTGTCGAGGGGGCCTGACTCTCCAAATGTAGCTTTACCTAAAATCTTCAAACTGTCATATAGATAATTGAACCAGTTTCCCCAGAGCAGGACAACAGGAGGGCAGGCACGCCCACCTGCAGCCCCGTAAAGTAGGTGTCACCTAACGCCCAAGTCCTGTGTTCTCCCCAGATGTTTTTTTCCAAAAGTGTGACTGTCCCTTCCTGTTTCAAACTATCTCATGGAAAAGCCAGCAGGCCACACTTGGCGCTGCCCCCAAGTTTCTCAGCTCCGGTCCTTCCAGCTCTCTGTGGGTGAGTGGGGCCCAGGATGTACCCCTGGCTGCCCGCCTTAAGCTCAGAAAGGAAAAGGGTGCCAGGACTTCTCACGTTCAGGGAAAGGCAAGCTGCGGTGTCACTGTGGGAAGAAAGGCTCTGCAGCTGCACTCCTTCCTGCACTTCACCCTGCCCGTCTCCAGGTGGCAACTGCCTCCCGGAGGCCTTTTCCTCCCTGGGCTGCTTGGGCTGGCTGCCTGGTCCCTGCCTCTTAGCTCGCACCCCCTCCTTTGCTGCTACCTCTTGCAATGTCCTCCACTATTCAACTTTGTGATCTTATCCATTCTTTGGGTTTGATGACTGACTTTTTCTTAGAAAATCTTCCCATTTCCATTGCTACTTCTAACTTCTTTCTGAAGATGTACACGAGGGTGAGCCCTTGTCCCCAAAACATCTTCACACACGTGTCTCAGAAGCCTGGCAGCAGATTAAAGATGGTGGCATGGTGGTTGACAACCTGCCCGTTGAGAGCTGGAGGCTGTTGGCTGAACCTTGCTGCTTGGCTGGCCTGTGACCCTTAAACCAGTGAGCACGGAGAAGTGATGCTGTCGCAGGTCCGGGCCTGGCCTTTAAGAGCTGGCAGGGTCAGCACGACATTTTGGAAGGCCACCATGTAGGAAGCTCAGCTCCCTTCAGCTCTGAGTGAGGGCCCAGCCACAGCGTCCACTGCAGGGGGAGGCCGCCTGGGACAGGGCTTCCCAGCCACCCTGTCCTCAGCCCTGCTGCAGCTCCCTGCAGGCTTGCCCAGTGGAGCCCAGAGCTCCCGGCTTGGTGAACAGTAATAACCGATGTCTCCACAGGGCGTGGGGTGAGGACAGCTTTCCTCAGGGCCACAGACACACAGATCAGACACTCGTGCCAGCTTCTCGAAGGGAATTCACTCTGGCTTTCCCGCCAAGAGGAAATGTTTTTCCCGTGTCCCCAAACTCTAGCTAACGTCATCCCAATCACAGGTCTTGTGGGAACCTTGAGAATGCTCTTGTCTCTTCCTCTGTGGAATGTCATGCCGAATTAGTCATTCCATCCTACTGATTCTCTTCCTAAAACACCCTTGAAAGACTGGACATTTTCCTATTCTGCTAGCACTAGACCCATTCTGAGCATAAGCCCTCTTTGATTTTTTTCAATTCCAACAGCCCCTGATAATTTCTATGTTCCAATTTCAGTACAGGGAAGATGTCACAAGAGCCACGTATTCAGCAATTCCTGTTTCCAGAGCTAGACTGCCAACTTCTGTAGCCTGACCTCCAGCCTTGTGCCTGGAGAGCTGGAATCCTACTCAGATGCAAACCCCCGTGTAGCACTCCGGGCCCCCATCCAGCTGCCTGCAGCAAGGTGGGGCCTGTGCCTGGGCTGTGATAACCACCTCTCAGTGCTCCAAGTCCCATACTCCAGGACACTCTTAGTCTCGGTGAGCTGGGACAGACAGGTATCACTCAACTATTATTTGGTCACAGAGACGATAGCCTCATCTGTGTCATCCAGGAGCCTAGAGCAAGCAGAGCTCTAGCTTGGAGGAGTGAGGAGAAGAGGGAGTAGCTCGTCTGTGGCCTCTTCTTTCTCTTATAAATAATTTTGCCATAATTTCAAAGCTGATGTAGACACCAGTGTTTCGTCCCAAAGTGAATAACGCAGGCCGTGGCTGCCAGGCTTTCAAAGAGTTTATTAAACATTCATATCATCACAGGTTGATGTGGGCTCTTGCTTTAGTAGATGTTGAAGTTAAAACTAAAGCACAAATTTACAGGGGAATGCTTTAATGCGAAGTTGGAGAGAAGGGAGATAAGACTTCCTGTTTGGGTAGCTAGAGGCTCTCTGTGGTACAGGGGTGCAGACCTGACTGGGGACCAGCTTCAAGGAGCAGTTAGTGGGCTGCCATGGGGTCCGTCTGTATCTCAGGTCTGGTTTCTTTTCTTTTTTTTTTTATTTATATGTGTGTGTCTGTGTGTA